CTCTCCCACACCTACTCAATCGGAATACTAGGAGACAGAGCCTGAGACATGGTGTTTTCAATATGCATCCGGGGTGATTTTAATACACACCTTAGTCTGAGAATCACTAAATTAAACCCACTGACTTCTTCGCTATTTTGTCTCCAAGATAGCTATCTACATGGGATGCCAATCCCTTCTCCCTTCTAACCTAAGTTTTTTCTTAATTAGAGGCAGTAGTTAACAAACCCTCCAGTTCCCTACCAATTGCAGTTTTAAACGGAAGCAAGAGGTTAGGAAAGATTAAAGACCATGCACGATTTTAAGTGCTTTGGGACCTCTGGCACATCCCAGAAATAATCATGTCAAGAAGAGCTAGAGTAGCAAGCTCTCCAATGGCTCAAGACCAAAAGGATCCCTTCCCTCTCTAACTTCTTCACCACAAACACAGCAACACCCCTGGTAATTCTCTGGCACCCATCAGATACGATTTCCTTTGGCGACCCCTAACCCTATTTAGAGTACGTTCCTTAACTTCTTCACGGAACTGCCTCGCGATTGGTATAAAAACATTTCACATTTGATTACGTTCAAACACAGACACACACACACACACTGCACCCTGCCTACTGCCTCTCCTCCATCCCTAAACTGGGGCTCTGACCGCAGCTGCCCACTCGCCTAACTCAGAGCAACTTCTTCCCACTCCTCGTTATTAACCCCCGCCCTCTGCAAACAGGGGCCCTCACCAGTCCCGCCCGCGCACAGCCTGGTCCCCTGGGTCCTGCTCCTGGAACTTCTGCCCTCGGGCGCCCCTCGCCCCTAGATCCCCGGCCCAGGCCTCTGCAGACCCTCCCCTCCCCCCTCCAGGAGGGATGTCCTCCCAAGGCATCCCAGATCCGGCCGGCCCAGGCCCGGGGGACCCGGCCATGCGGCCCGACTCCCACTTTCTGCCTCTTCCCCGGTTGTTTTGCAGGACAGGGGTGCAGTCCACCCTCCAATTTGCTTCTCCTGCCGTCTCTCCCTTGGAGCTGCCCTCCTTACCCGCCTGCAGCCCGGTTTCGGCGACATCGCCAGCAGGGCCGAACTCGGCCCAGCCGCCGCCCGTCGGGGAGGAGGCACAACTGTGGTTGTGGGAGCACTTGATGTCGCGGAAGAACTTCTGGGTTTCGCGCAGGTTCTGCCTCAGCCGGCCCAGGTAGCGGCGGTAGCGACCGAACCCCCGGCACATCTCGCGAATCATTCCGCCGCCTCCGGGGCCGGGACCCGAGACTGGCTCGCTCCCCCACGGCAACCCGTCGCCCTCCATCTCTTCTGCCCACACTGTCTTCGCGGCTTGGTCCCCGGCCGCTGGCCCGGCCTCCCTCCTCCCCGCCCCCCCAGTGCTTAAGGGAGGAGGAATCCGCCTCCTGACGCCCCCGCCCGCAGTCGGCCTGGCTCCCAACCTCCCTCACTGCCGTAGCAAACAAACCAACCCGCAGTGCACAGCCAACGGAACCTTTCTCTCCACTATCCGCAAGAGTGAGGGAAAGATCGCTGGAGGACGCGGGCACTGCGGGGCCTACTGGGAGTTGTAGTCTGGGCTGGGGCCGAGCACCAAAACCCCAAGGCTGAAGGATGGGAGGCTGTGGATGGGGCTGCCCGCCTTTGCTAAAACCCTCACCTGTTCTTGTGCTTACACGCTCTCCTCATTTAAAAATGTGTTCCTAATCCCTACATGAGTGTCCCTGAGGAGAGAGAGGAGCTGCAGAATTTGGACTCCAGCAGAAGTGGGCTGCCTTACTGAAATCAGAGCCAAAGATTTTAATAGAGAAAAGGAAGGAAATATGACAGAGGACAGTAATATCTCCATGGTTACCCTAAATGGCTCTCTCACTTTCCGGATACAGTAGATACCGGGGAATTGGCTGAAACTGCCCTGGAATAGGGAAATCTCTCGTGTTTGTATTGCATCCTCCTTTTCTGACTTTCCTTCTCCAGATGTGGAATGGAGGGATGTGTAAGGGTCGATATGAGCTATCGGCTGAAGAGCGATTGGTTTCTTAAAGTAGGGAGACCCGGCTGGGTAAGGGGAAGTTGAGGTTTCTAGCCTTCCAAACCACTTCTGATTATCTTAACTCGGCTTCTGCTAATGCGCAAGCCTTCCCTTGACACAGACTGTCACAGACCCTTGGGCATAATTACAAAGGGCGCAAAACTTGACGTCGCCTCTTTTACACTTCCTGTTTTCTTTCCCCTCTTCGCCAGGCACAAATTCCACCTGTGTCTTTCTTGCTGTGGAAAGACCCCATCTTTTACCCAGATGGAGTCTCTGACAGGCTGGACAGTGTAGTTCCTTAACTTAAATTAGGGGATTGGACTTTGGGTCTGGACTCCAGTGCTTGTGACCTCAGGCAGGACCCTGTTTCATCATCTATGAAATAAGGGTTTGGACTGGTTGATCTCTTTGATATTTTCACTTATTTATTTTTGAGACAGAGTTTCACTCTGTTCCCTGGGCTAGAGTGCCGTGACGTCAGCCTAGCTCACAGCAACCTCAAACTCCTGGGCTCAAGCGATCCTCCTGTCACAGCCTCCTGAGTAGCTGGGACTACAGGCACACACCACCATGTCCGGCTAATTTTTTACATATATATTTTTAGTTGTCCAGCTAATTTCTTTTCTATTTTTTTAGTAGAGATGGGGGGGGTGATGTGGGTCTCATTCTTGCTCAGGCTGGTCTCGAACTCCTGAGCTCAAACGATCCGCCCGCCTCGGCCTCCCAGAGTGCTAGGATTATAGGAGTGAGCCACTGCATCCAGCCTATTTATTTATTTTTGAGACAGGATCTCAGTCTGTGGCCCAGGCTAGAGTGCAGTGGCATCACTGCAACCTCAAACTTCCAATCTTTCTGCTTCAGCCTCCTGAGTAGCTGGGACTACAGGCGTGCACCACCATGCCTGGCTAATTTTTCTATTTTTTGTAGAGATGGAGGTCTTCTTCTTGCTCAGGCTGGTCTCCAACTCCTGGCCTCAAGTGATCCTCCCACCTTGGCCTCTCAAAGTGCTAGGATTACAGGTGTGAGCCACCGCACCTGCCCTGGACTAGTTGATCTTTAAGGCCTTTTGGCTCTAAAATTTTATGAGTCCTGCTTTAAAAATTTTATTTCTCCCAACCTCTCATCTCATCTTGAGTGCAAGTGATCTTAGCTAAGTGATGTCATTCTGTTCGGATTAATTCATTGTAAAATGCGAAGGCTTTACCTTTCCAGGGGCTTTTAACACCTTATAAAAAGGGGTCACTAATTCAGATGAATCTCTTACTTGGTAAAGGTGTGTGAAGGCTGCCTGTAAGAGGGGAGCTTTATGCTCTTGCCCATTTACTCCTTCCCTTTTATTTGGTCACATATTCTCCACTGGCCATTCTTCTTTTGCAAGATCGTATTCTCTGTGCAACTCCCAAAGGCTCAGTAAAATAGAAATGAAAATATAAAATGGGAATTTTAATACAAGATGGTTGATACTATTTTAAAAAATAGAACAGCTCTAACAAAGCAATGTGTGATGATTTGCCACACACAATAATTTCTAGCAAAGGAGATTAAATGAGAGAACACTCAAAGTGGAATTGTCTAGAATAGGAATCTATCTTGAAGAAGAGGCAAAATTTGGATAGGTAGAAGTAATCAGAAAGGGCATTATTTCCGGTAAAGGTCACAGAGCTCACCGTTTTAAAAACTATTCATTAGTACTTTAAATTATATTCATTTTTAAAATAAGTAATACAATAATATAATATAAAATTCAAATGGTGCAAAGGGTATACAAGGAAAAACTAAGTCTTCCTTAGTTTTTCTGTCCCTGTCTTCCAGTCACCTAGTTCCCCTCCCAGAAAGCATATATAAATATATGTATTTTAAATACCAATGATAGCATACTATACATACTCTATTATACCCTCGCAGACTTCTACACCTAAACATAAAGATCTGCCTCATTCTTTTTAACTGTGTGATAAACTACCATATGGATTGGCATGTTTTATTCAACAAGTCTTCTATTGGCAGACCTTTAGGTTTTTTGCAGTGTTTTGATATTCAAAGTAATGCTACAGTAACTAACTTTCTATATACACCATTCTGAATTGTGCAAGTATATCTTACTCCCATTTTTTATCTGTTGAGGAAAGCATTCATTTTTTGCTATTTAAAATCTTAAAGGATGTGAGTGACAGTGAATCCTTATTAAATTATAATAACCTACCTATAAGAATATATATTTTTTCAAATATCTAATTCAAAGGACAAATGGGGGAAATAAGGGTTTGAATGGTAAGAAGATAGGGTTTAAGGTAGTATAGGAAAGTGTTTCCTGAAAGTGATGAGAGTTAATTAATGAAGATGAACACACAGATCTACTTTTGTTCGCTCCTAGAACATCATTAAGGTGACAGCAATGGAATTTTTAAAAGCAGAAAGCCACAATAATGAAAGGAGCTAGTAGCAAAAAATAAAGTGGAAGCCGGAAAGCCAATGGACAAGTGTTAACTAAGTTACCAGCCTGGGGAAACCTGAATCCTAAACCCCAAATGGGAAAAGCTGAGATCCAGCCTGATTTATGCTGCAGAATCCCCCACATCTTAGGAATTGGTAACAGTAGGTGCCCCCACTGCCTACTGTGGAATTATAGGACTACAGAGCTGCCATACACAGGTTGTGTGATGAACAGGAATTAAAACACAGATTTTGAAAGTTGTTTCAGAGAAGTTAGGACCTCAAGTCACTTTCCCCATCTTCACTGCCCCTCTCCACACTCCCGCCAAAAGAAGACTGAAATATTTATTTTGCAGAGAGGGTTAAATAGGAGCTATCTATATAAACAGGGAGATCAAGTGAATGTATGGATATTAGATGGCCTCTTCCCCCATTCAGTTCCTAGATCTTTGGCTACTAAGTGTTAACTCTCCAAAAAGGAAACCTAAGGAGTCTTCACCAAGTCCAGCCAAAGAGGAAAGATCCAAAGACACTGACATCAGAAAGGAGATTTTTATCTGGCTCGTTCACTGCTGTATCTCCAGCACCTAGAATGATACCTGTCACTTAGTAGGTGCTCATTAGATATTTTTTGAGTGAATGAGTGTTCACTGTAGACATTTTTGAATATTCAGGAAAGCACAAAAGAGAAAATAAAAACCACTCATATTTCTACTATCTAGAAACAACCAGTAAGTTATATTTGTATCTATAAATGTTGTCATTGGAGGAAGAGGGATAAGTGAGAAATATATTAGTCTTCCTAACTTTACTTTTCTATTACAAGTTGGTTAGGTGATTTCTACAGAGATTCTGAAGGCTTGATCTTCCTGTTCATGTAGGTGGAAATCAGGCGTTTTTTGCAGAACACCAAAAAACATTAACATTTAATTCTCCCATGTAAATTAAGAAAAGTTTATTAACAGAACCTATGTCTGTTTTCTATTATGGGACATAAAACCACAATTACAAATACAAAAATTTTTAAAAATCCACAAACTGAAGAAAAAAATACAACAAACAATTACACATTTCTGAAATTTCCATAGGTATTTTTAAAATATTTGTTCAATTGTCGTGATTTCCTAAAGTTACTAACAGGTGAGTGATATTCAGCTCCAAAAAAAAAAAAGGAGAAGTTATGGAAGAAAAGATGAGAAAATACAATTCATAACCTTAATTTTTTCTATGAATTGGGGAAAGATCACCACTATCAAATTTAGCAACACAGCACACAGCATACCTTCTTCGAACTCAACACTGATTTCCAAGGGAACATGTTTGAGAGTCCCTGTTCTAGACAATCTCCTTCTCTTCTCTGCTTATTTTGTATATTGCAGCCAATGTTGCAGAACAATGCTTCTCCAATTTTTTTCTTGAGGCAGGGTCTCACTCTGTTGCCCAGGCTAGAGTGCAATGGTGTCATCGTAGCTCACTGCAATCTCAAACTCTTGAGCTCGAGTGATCCTCCTGCCTAGCCTCTTGAGTAGTTGGGACTGCAGGCGTGAGCCACCACACCCGGCTAATTTTTTCTGTTTTGTAGAGACAGGGTCTCACAATTGCCCAGGCTGGTCTTGGACTCCTGGCCTTAAGCGATCTTCCTGCCTCGGCCTCCCAAAGTGCTGGGATTATGGGTGTGCGCCACTGCACCCAGCCTTCTCCAACTTTAATGTGCATATGAATTACATGGGGATCTTTTTTTTTTCTTCTGGTAACTTTCATGGAGCCAAGGGATCTTTTTAAAATATACTTCTGATTCAGTAAGTCTGGGATGGTGCTTGAAATTCTGCATTTATAACAAGTTCCCACGTAGTGTCAATGCTGCTGGTCTGTGGAC